TGCTTACTCTCTCCTCCCTGGCCGCTCTGGGTGCTTACTCTCCCCTCCCTGGCCGCTCTGGGTGCTTACTCTCCCCCTCCCTGGCCACTCTGGGTGCTTACTCTCCCCCTCCCTGGCCGCTCTGGGTGCTTACTCTCCCCTCCCTGGCCGCTCTGGGTGCTTACTCTCCCCCTCCCTGGCCGCTCTGGGTGCTTACTCTCCCCCTCCCTGGCCGCTCTGGGTGCTTACTCTCTCCTCCCTGGCCGCTCTGGGAGCTTACTCTCCCCCTCCCTGGCCGCTCTGGGAGCTTACTCTCCCCCTCCCTGGCCGCTCTGGGTGCTTACTCTCTCCTCCCTGGCCGCTCTGGGAGCTTACTCTCCCCCTCCCTGGCCGCTCTGGGTGCTTACTCTCCCCTCCCTGGCCGCTCTGGGTGCTTACTCTCCCCTCCCTGGCCGCTCTGGGTGCTTACTCTCCCCTCCCTGGCCGCTCTGGGTGCTTACTCTCCCCTCTCTGGCCGCTCTGGGTGCTTACTCTCTCCTCTCTGGCCGCTCTGGGTGCTTACTCTCTCCTCCCTGGCCGCTCTGGGTGCTTACTCTCTCCCTCCCTGGCCGCTCTGGGTGCTTACTCTCCCCCTCCCTGGCCGCTCTGGGTGCTTACTCTCTCCTCCCTGGCCGCTCTGGGTGCTTACTCTCTCCTCCCTGGCCGCTCTGGGTGCTTACTCTCCCCTCCCTGGCCGCTCTGGGTGCTTACTCTCTCCTCCCTGGCCGCTCTGGGTTCTTACTCTCTCCTCCCTGGCCGCTCTGGGTGCTTACTCTCTCCTCCCTGGCCGCTCTGGGTGCTTACTCTCCCCTCCCTGGCCGCTCTGGGTGCTTACTCTCCCCTCCCTGGCCGCTCTGGGTGCTTACTCTCCCCTCCCTGGCCGCTCTGGGTGCTTACTCTCCCCTCCCTGGCCGCTGCCAACCCCTCTCTCACAGGCCCAACAGCATCCACACTCTCCCCTCCACTCTCTCCTCTCACCATTCCCATCTTTATCTTCTACTATTATCCCCGGCACAACCACCGCCTCTCACTCTCACTATCTCAAGGTAAACACTAATTATTCGGCAATGTTTTCAAGATTAGTTTTAGAATTATGATTCTGGCGCGAATCTTCTCGATATTCCTTATTTTTTTCTTCACTGAAGCAGGAAGATTAAAAAATAACTCTCAAAAGTTTATTTGTACTTATTATTTGGGTCTGACGCCTAGTGATGCGTTTCGTAAGGTCTCACCTCACATTCTCTAAGACAAATTCTTCTGTTGTTGTTGTTGTTTTAGATTTAGCTACTCAGAACAAAATGTCCATGTAGCACGGACTATGGTGAGCCCGTAACTGAGTTCGGTTATTCACGACAACCTTGTTACTCTGATATTTGGGTCAAAGTTTAAAATGGAGGTGGGGTTTCCTCCTTTTTCCCTGTTTCTTTTTTTATTCTGTTTCAGTGCACTGGTTTTAGTCTTGTTTTAATAACATTATCTTGGTGACAGATGTAGGTGCAGAATGTTCACTAGTGAGTCCCATTCCTCAACGGCTTTTCTAATCATTGTAGTCGCTGTGGAATGTGCATTTAATGCAGCTGCTGTCGTTGGATTAATGTTGACTTTGATGCGCAGGACTTCAGCAGCTTCATATTCCAGTAAAGTAGTGCAATAGTGGCGCCTCTGCTACTGTTCTACAGATATGACACTCTTAATTCTTCTGTGTTAGCACCTGATTATATCCTCTAATGGTGAGGTGGTAGGTGACATGGATGAATGACATACATGGGGTATTAATGGGGGTACTATATAATGGGGTTTTAATGGGGTAGTAAATTAAGAGTGTAACATGTTAGCAGCTTATATTCTGGCTGCTTCCGTTCCTGTTACCGGGTCATTCGGTCCAGCTTCTGCATTGACCCGGGGTCTTGAAGTGGGTAGCGTGTAACTGTGTATTAGCTGGTTATTGTCTGCTGGTCAAGATTTTTTGATATGCAGCACTTCACAGATGTCAAATCTTCTATTGTCATTGTATCTATCGATTATTTCGGTGTTGCTGGTCAAAATATCCCGGGTGATCGTCTCGTTGTGTGTGGCGATTATATGTTCCTTGATGGAGTCCTGTTGTTTGTGCACTGTTAAGCGCCTAGAGAGAGACGTTGTTGTCTTGCATATATACTGAGATGGTTGGGGCTGACAATTCCAAGTGGGCTCGTGAAGGCGTAAACAACGTTGGTCTCGTTCAAGACTGTTTTTTTTGGTGTCGGGATAATTCTTCATTAGCAGGTTGGTCGACGGTTTTCCTACTCTTATAATATATTGTTAGTTTTATCTTCTGGTTGACGTCCGTTGGGGTAACGTCGCTCTCAGTGATCTCTTTTAGGGCTCTTTCCTGTGCTTTGTACGCCGCCGTGGAGAAGAAGTTTCTCTATAACAATTTTATTGGAAGTGCGGGTATTGTGGTATTAGTGGCTCCATAACCTGTTCCACACCTCGCCACCTTCCTTTTTATTATGTCTTCGACATAACCAATGAATAAACCATTGTTGACCAAAATCTGCCTTATTCTACATAACTCCTCATCCATCTGCTTCCACCCAGAGCGGTGAGTGAGAGCTCGGTCGACATAAGCGTTCACAACACTCCGTTTGTATCCCTGCGGGCAGTCGCTGTCAGCGTTAAGGCACATCCCTATGTTTGTCTCCTTAGTATATACTGCACGATGAAAGCTTCCGTTCCTTTCCATGACTGCCACATCTGAGAAAGGAAGTTTCTCTTCATCTGCAACAGTCGTTCGGTATCCGGAACTTGTACAAATATGTCGTCGACATACCTGCAGTAGATGGCGGGTTTTACATCTAACCCGACCCGAACTCTGCTCAATAGTACCCATGTAAAAGTTCGCGAGCAAGACACCCAGCGGGGAGCCCATTATGTTTACACTTTGATTAGTGTCTTATATGTTGGTACAGAAAGAATGTAATTAACTGATTTAGAAAGATGAGACTCACTTTGATTAAATATTTCTTGAATTTCTTGAAATTTACACAACCTCTGGGATACATAGAACTTATAGCATATTCATTATAGCTGTAACAACCCAGCCTACTTAAATGACAGTAATTATAGTAACTAATTGGTCGAAATTATTCATATGTATCAAATAATTTAACCACATAAGAGTTAACTTTTGTACTTTTAATTTTACAGAGTACGGGAAAATTAAGCTAAAAATCAAACTTAAATATTCCTAGGCCTAGTATAGCAAATAATTCATACCTGGCAACCCCTTTAACGAAATGTATTGCGCATAATTCTTGTTAAAGTTTGTCTTAGAGGTTTGGGAGTTATTACAATGCTGCGGGCCGCGCCAAGCAACAGTCTGTTGGACCAAGCAACAGCCTGTTGAACCAAGCAACATCTTGTTGAACCAAACTCTCACAAGTCAAGCCTGGCCACAGGCCGGGCTCGGGGATTAGAACAACTCCCAGAACCCCATCCAGGAACAATGTTATAGAGCGAGCATAATTTTCAGGATATTTGAGACATGTTTAGTAGTGAGATAACTTGGTATTATGCTGGAGGCCGGACGGCCCACGTCGACCAGGCCCAAGAGTTACGTGGTACAGTCGACACAAGTCTTACAAAAGGCACCATATCCATGTAAGTCTGACTTGCTAACTATTCCCACAAGTGTGTCAAGGGCTACGTTTCTAGGAGGCTTCTTGCCTACTTAAAGAACTATCACAAAAGCAAACTACCTGTACCAGACCAACAGTTTCAACACTTACTTTTTTCCGAGTCATGAAATCAAGCTGACAGCTTTCCCTTCCCATTTTTCACCTTAAGTCATATTTCACTAACTGTTCACGCAGTGAGACCCGTCAATCAACTTCTAACCAGATCCCGCCATTACTGGTGAGTAAACAGGCTGGAAGAGGAAGGATCAGTGGGACGTCGACCCTCCCTGACCATGGCTGGGAACCCTGCCAAGATGCTGGGCTGGTCTGCGGCACTTGTACCACAACGACTCTTCTTCTCCTCATAATGTTCCCTAATGTGTTGATCCCTCTTACTAATGCTCTTGCATCAGGGTTCAGCTAGAAGAGGAGTTCACCAAAAGTCATGTTGTTTTCAAGGTGAAAACCTTGAAAACAACATTGTGTTGTTGACACAACCTTGACACAACGTTGCATTCGAATAGGCGCGTCTTTTTATATATCTACTATATACATGTCTCACATGAAACAGGAAAAAACATGTTTTTTTGAAAAACAACGCCATCGTTGGACGTACGAGCAACACACGCTGTTATCTCTGAAAGTTCTTCACCGATTGCTTTAAAATTTTGACACAACGTTGCATTCGAATGGGCGCATCTTTTTATATACCTACTATATAGATGCCAACCCTGTGACAGGTAAAAACATGCGTTTTTGAAAAACAGCGCCATCTGTTGCACATAATAGCAACATACACGTAATACTAAATATGTCACGAATTCCATTTCAATGTTTCCGATTGCATTGATAAATTTTATTTTCATAGATTTCGATTTATTTTTTATTAAATTATTTTGTACGACATTGTGTTGGAATTGAGCTGTGTTGTTTACCATACCGTTCATTTCGTAAGTATAAGTATAGATGCCACACCTGTGACAACTATGCTTTTTCTGTGATTGGAGGCCTTGTTACTCATATGCCAGACCAACATTGGAATATGCGGCTCCAGCATGGAGTCCATATCTAATGAAATTCCAAACGAAGTTAGAAAAAGTT